GATATTCTTATCTTCCATTAATTTGTCTAGGGGTTTTTATTATTATTGCCTAGCAGCACTGATAGCAGAGTTCCACAAATAAACTGTGGGTTGTGTAAAAATAGTTTATGTGCTTGTTTTAAACCGACTGCTTGTTAATTTCATTGGAGGTTCACTGGTTGCAGTAACTATTTGAAAGGGTAAAAAGTCTGTTTCCAGGTTACTTTTTGTACTCCACTCATGATTTTATATACTTCTGCTAAGAAAAGTAATAGAGAAAAGTGTGAGCATTACTAGAGAGTTCCAATTTTTGTACCCTCTTCTTGTGGAAAACCTCTGCATATTACTTGAATGAGTGAATCACACAATTGTGAAGAACATATGGGTATAATGAGTGTCAGCACAGTGTGGTTTGAGCATTAGATTATGACTCTGGAGACCAAGATTCAAATCCCCACTCAGCTATGGAAACCTGGACAAGTCACACTCTATCAGCCCCAGAGAAAAGCAAAGGAAACCTGTTTCTGAACACATCTTGCCAAGAAAACCTTGTGATAAGGTCACCATAAGCACTCAGCAACATTATGTGTACAATTCATTAATAACATTAGCTGCAGGGATGAGACTCATCTGGCTCTTCAGATGTTGTTGGACAGCAAGTCCCAGCAGCCATATTCAATGGGAATGAATGTTGAGAGTTCTTCCTCTATTCATGAGTAAAGACAAGAGAAGAATATAAGCCTCTTTTATTTGTTTGCATGAAACATTATTTTTATGTATTGCTAAGTCTTAATCTAAGTTGCTTTATTACACAGCCTAAGAAGCTGCATCTTATTGTGTGGCAACTACTGCTACCAATCGTTTATATAGCACCATCAATGCTGACGGCACATTCCAGAATTAATTGAGAGAGATAGATCCATGTCCCAAAGGGTATAAGGCACAAGTTTCACATCACAGAATCATAGAGTTAGAAGAGACCACATGGGCCATCTAGTTCAAACCCCTGCCATGCAGGAAAAGCATGATCAAAGTACCCCTGACAGATGGCCATCCAGCCTCTGTTTAAAAGCTTCCAAGGAAGGAGCCTCCACCACACTTAGAAGCAGCAGCCTGGTTCAGCAGGATAAGAGACAACTGACAGACATTGGGATAAGGGCGCGTTGGTGTATTCTCGTGTATAGTTATGACATTCTCGTCCTTGAAAGTATAGAGAGGACCATCACAAACAGTTTTGAAACAAAGAATGAAGAGCAACATACATTTCTTTCTTGAGGCACGTTTATTGTAATGCCTCCTCCGTCCAAGCACTCTTGGTTTTTCCAGACTTGGCCATCACTAAGCAAGGGAAGTTCCAGCTTTCTTAACATCCATTAATACTAACCCACAGCACCTATGTTGATCATATGTACAGCTTTTGACAGCAACAGAAAAGAAGCCCATCAATAGCACTCAGCAACTATCTCAGTAGCTGCTCACTGAAAGGGTTTAAGGAAAGATCTGATGTAGAAGAATATTCTAATACAATTCATATCTCCAGCAGCCCTCCTCAGTACAGATCTAGTCAAGGCAAAGAGCAGGATAAACTCTTTGCCCCAAGTCTTCGCTAAAGTGACAGTTCACAAAAGGATACATGATCGCTCAGTGACATTAAAAATGTCAGCGAGAGGCCAATGCGGTTTGGCAGAGAGAAAGCATTGGCAGGCAGAGGAAAGTAAAACTTTTGACAACACATTCGGCTTTAAGCAGGGTTTGTTTTCATTGCTGGTGATTTCTGTCCATCCTAAGGCCTTGCATTTTATCCAGCTCCTGCATCCATATATCAGGCTGCTGTTAACCTTTACATGGAGGGAGAGGGAGCCCACCCCCACCTCTGTAATATCTCATACAGCAAAAGCTAAAAATACCTTACCATTCCTAGAGCAATGTCTTTTCTTTCTTACACACATGATAGGTAACTGAAAGTAACATGGATCTGAAAGACAAGTGTGGAAACACCAGCAGTTCCTCTTGCTACAACAATCACAAGGACATTCAAAGTTACAAGATACAAATCAGTTTCCTGGAATACAGATAGCCTAGCTTTAAGTAAAACCAGATTTCCTCAACGAAATGCAGTTGAAACAGGACCTGTTTGGGTTTCTTGAAGATACAACTTGCTCTTTGGTTTTCCACTATGTCTTCTTGTTCATAGTAACTAAAAGTAACTAGAAGTAACGATATTCTGTATTATCTGTATGCCTCTCTACAGACTTTGGTGTAGAACACCAGATAGCTGAATGACCTAAGCACCCACATACACATCTGTGGGTGCTTAGGTTTTAAACAAAGTATTAGTTCGAAATAAAGCCAAACAGATCTAATTTCATGGTTATGGCTAAACACTTGAATAACTGATATGCTTAATCAGAACCTACTACCAAGAACACTGTACCTATTCCATCTTTTCTGAGCAAGTCAAGATCTAGCTCATCAACAGCAAAGAAGCCAGCTCATTTCCCAAATACTGGTTTGTTCTTCTGATCTCCCATCAGCTATGTTAATCCAGCTGCTATCTCAAACAATTTAGTAACAGTTAAAGAATGGCATGGCTTTGCCATATCATCAGTTCACCATAGAGCAAATGGTTATGATTGATGTTATATTTTTGCAGCTAACTAATAATGGCAAGAGATCTTTCTCCTCCTTCAGCATGCCCCAACTCAATCTCCCATTTCTCTAACGTAATTCAACAAGACATGCCCCACTGAGATTTTCTGCCATTATTTCTTAGTCCTTTCCTCCGAATCCTCCTGAACAAAAAGACACTCTCACCACAAGACTTCTGTCTGCATTCCACATTTCTGTGAGCCCCAAAAGATAACTCATTAACAACAGAGTGTTCTCTGTTGGACACACTGGTGTTAAAGGAAATCTCTCTACCTGCTCTGCCTTTTGTAGATTCTCAGAGGGATACACATATAATAAAATAAATAAAATGCAACATTAGGAATGCTAATTCTAGTACACTGTTATTACTGTGCTCTATTGTGTATTTTGATATGTTTTTGATTGACTTGTACTCACTTAGGCACTGAATGTCTACCTTCTTATGTGTAAACCGCCCTGAGTCCCCTCGGAAAGAAAGGGCGGTATAGAAACAAATTATTATTATTATTATTATTATTATTATTATTATTATTATACAAAGTAAGTTTGTTTTTTTCTGCCATAAGCTAGCATGATTTGCCACAATTTAGAAAGAAGAAAATGGGCTGTTTCAAAATGGTAGTCCTTTCTGTATATGAACTCTGATCTCCAGAGATCCACTGTCCTGACCATTTCTGGAACGCTGATACATCATGGTTTCTTATCAAACATCTGCACTATGGAACTGTGCCCTGAAAGAGAAGCAAAATGTCCCTGTCTGCATGTCAAAGTTAATTACACAGAATAAAAGCCAGCTTTCAAACTGGCTGAACCTGATAGTCCAAAATTATGCCCAAAAGACAGAACATATTGTCCCAATGGCCAATGGCAGAAAACTGTCAAGGGTTTCTGCCAGCTAATATCAAAAATCACTACACAGAGCAGATTTGACTTTTCTGTATGTCTATCAATCAGCTGGTTATATCACTGCTACCCATCCACCAGAAGTTTAGTGAACTTCAAATGGCGATCATTAATGGTCACTGAACTGCACAATGCCCCAATATGCTTTCAGGTTACATTTGCAAAAGCCTGGCAATAATCCAAGATATTTGCTCTGACAGCAGAGAATGAAGGAAACCCTTGTCAAGCTTTGGGAGGAACACGCTGTCAGCCTCTTACCTCGTTACAGTTATGCCCTACTCTGATTTGACAGAATAGATCATGTTAATTTTTGTTCTGCTGCTGCTCATAAAGTCTATCTCAGAAATGGATATAACAAAATAGAGGAAAATTATAGGCACATTTCAAGCTTCTAACAAGCAAAACTGATAAATTCAGTGGCATCATTTGATGTAAAGCAGAGGGAACGAAAAAGTCATGGCATTACTACATACAGTGCAACTTTTCCTGCATTAGTTCCCACTTTCCAACTGCCTTCTTATGAGCACTTAGGCTTTGCTGGAGGATTTATACATAAAACACACTCATGCCTGCCACAGTCTGTCCAAGAGGTGTGAATCAACAAAAAAGGAAAGCATCTATGTCTCAATTATTTTAGTCACATAACAATGAGGAGAGGTGGGATATATATATTAGTGGTTCCCAACTTTTTATTTTTGACCAGAGAACACTGTGACCGGAGACCACTTGACCTGGGACCACTTTGACCAGGGATCACTCCAGCATTAGTACCAAAAGGGTTACGAATCAGTTTTTGGTCAACTTTAGATTCGGTCTGGGGTACTGACTCAGAAAATTGTACTGAATCAACCACATCAGCTCCCGTTTCTGATACAGAACATATGCCATGGTCAGTGACAGGGAAGAAATAGAAAAGAAATAAAATAAAATAAAATAAAGAGGAAGGAGGCTTGTGGACCAGATTTTCGTCATCGCGACCCATTGGTGGTCTGCAGCCCACAGGTTAAGAACCACTGATATATACACATACACACACACACACACACTCCTGAACAGTGAATACAACAAGAAGTCTTAAGCAGACTGTTTTTCTATTTGTTCCCAAGACTTTCAGAGCTGAGGAGCAACTGGCTAATATTCATGGCTTGGATATGCTCCAGCTGACCCAGCCTTTCTCAGAGAGATGCTGAGTTATTATGCATAGAGGTGCTGCATTAGAGTAGCCACAATGGGATTCTCCTCAGCTGCAGACCATATTCCATCAAGTACAGTAAGACTCTATTAGAGGAGATACAATGGGAACTTCGCTTCCCCCAGCCTCTGAGAAAATAACTCCTCATTTCAATGCAAAACAGCAATGCTTATTAAATACCTTCTTGAAGGAAGAGAGGACGGGAGAATGGGAGAAGGAAGAGGAAATGAAGAGACACTGGTGGGGGTGGGCAAGAAAGATTTACAATTGAAAATACCTTTTTAAGATTAATCCATTGTTTGAAGTAATCAGCAACTGGAAGTCCTAAATACTGGCATTGTCCAGGTAACCTGTAAGAAAGGAAAGAGTGTAAGTTGTATTTAGTTAGAGCAGCCTGACAAAACAAAGTCAGCTTTACTAAACAGTTCTCAATCTGAGAAAGAGGAAAGAAAAAATGCTCCAGTCCACATTTCAGAAGAAATTTGACAGAAATCAAATAGTGGTGCTCAGCCTAACACAAGATCATGGATAGGGATCTTGTGGCTCTTAAGGTGTTGGACTCCAATTCCCACAAGAATTAGCCATTAGGACCAATGGTTAGGGGTAGTGAAATTTGTAATCCAGGGACACCGGATGGTAGAATACTGATCTGTAGGACTGCGAGTTTCCTATCTCTGGTTTAGACTAGAATTTGGGTGACAGATATGAACTGCTATGACACCAAACAGTTCTAATGGGATCTTGTTTTAATACAGATAGACAGTTCCAACGGAAACTTGTTGAACAGAAGTGAGATAATGCCTCAATGGCATCATCCTATATAACAGTTCAATGCCTTTCACTGATATGTAGATCTCTTCCCTTCCAAAAAGTAATCCAAATTAACCTGTTTTATGAGAATATAGCATCATTGGGTTTTTTTTAAGGCCACCAAACACAATGAAAATGGATGGAAACGATCAATGTAGAAATGGAATCAATGAGGAAATGACAAAAACAAAAAGTATGTATAATGGAAACAGTGAAATACAATGCAGATAATAAAAAGAATATGATGAAGACGATCAAAAATGCTATCAATAACCAATTGCAAAAATATCAGAATTTTCTTCCCCAAGTGCTAGGGAGTGATACCATATTTGTGCCCATTAAATATAATATTATTTTAATTTTCAGTGTAACTCACAGACTGCCACTGATTAGCACTGCTCTGAATAACTCTCTCCTCCCCCCTCCCCAATATTACAGTTTTCTCACCTTAATACAAGCTTTATGAATTGCCAGTAGTGTCACAGTTATCATTATACCTCTCAGTATATATTTTCTTATTCGCAATGAACTTCCACTATATTTGGGGGGGGGGGGGGTCCTTTCATGACAAATGCAAAATGTGAGTTGAACGTTTTGACACTATGCAGAACTGTCATTTAACATGTTTGCTTTTGAAGATGCATTTTGCACCACAGAAGCATCTCCTTATAGCCCCCCCCCCCCAGTTATCCCAGTCTCTGTGATCTCAAACACAACCATTCTAAAGATACAAAAACAATATATACTATTTACATAAAATCATCTCAAGTGGAAGAGTCACGATTAAAACTGCTCTTTCTAAGTAAATATGAAGAACATATATAAGGGTCAATCTTTTCAAAATTAAATAAGAGACAAATCTGAAAGTCTATACCGTCAATCATTAAGTGTGTCAGTGGCCCAGTCTTTCCAAACAGATCCAAACATGTGAAGTTTACAAGATTATCACACAGCAGATTGTTGGCATAAAGAACAAGCTTCATAGCTTATGTGCACATCCTGTACATCCAGAGATATTCTTAGGAGGCCAAACAACAACCAGAAGGAAGAGACCCCAATACCCTGGGGAAAGGGAACAGATCAGAGGAAGTGGACCTCCAGCTGTAAGAGCTTAGATCTAACAGTCAGCAGTTGTATCATATACTCTCAACACCCCCATCTTGCCCTTTACTACTGGAGGGGCAAAGAATAGGCATTGAATCCTTTATTTTGGAATGTAGATTCATTTGTCTCCAATCAATTTGATTGATATGGGGTAGTTAACAGGTCGTATTGCTTATTAATGCTTTGCTAAAGATTTTTAGAGATGTTCTGTACGCTGGATTGGGTATGAATGAGGCAAGCTTAGGAAAGACCAAAAATTAATTAAATAAGTGATTAATAGATCCATTTACACATGGTAATTACTACAATCCAAGCAATTGGATATGCAAATTAGGCATGCACTTTGGACCCAGCACTTTGTTGCAAACTATTTTCTGCAAGCAGAGATTTCAGAAAAAAAGATACAAGATGGGTCTGGTCTGCTCCATTAATATTGCAACCTGAGAAGAAGGGTTTCACTATAACGTTAATTTTCAGAAATCAAAAGGCATGGCTAATGGCAAGAAAACTTGGTATCTTCTACCTGAGATTTTCACTTGCTCAGCTCCTATGGATAAGGAGACACTGACATTTAGAGTTTTTTTAAAGACACCTTCTCCCCTGCCCCCAACCCCCAATATTGGTCCCTGGGATGATGAGAAAATAGAAAACAATAAACAGATTAGATATGCACTGCAATGACTATTAGATTTTCTAAAACTTGACTTCTCAAACTAGTATCTCACATTTCAAAACCTATCATTTCAGCAATTTTCTTTCAATACTGGTATTCCCCAACCCAAATTCAATGGACCTGGAAACAATACCATCCCACCATTCCAAGGTAACATCTTCAAGTGCACATATTCTGTACACGTATAAGAACATAATATCTCCAGAGCAAAATGTTTCCAAATACAAGTTCACTTTATCTTAAATGAAAGAGGTAAAATGTTAAAGATTTATATGATTTGAAGAGAAACCAGAGTATCTTAAATGAGAGAAGTGACCTGTTCTCCTAAGCCGATTGCAATCATCCTCCAATAAAAAAGTCAACTGATCATGAACTAAGTGACCTGTTGATTTCTAAAACAATTCTTCCTGATTCAGCTTTTCCACTTGAAAACAGAATTACTTAAAGTACCAGCTGAAAGGCCTGTTCCCAGGCAAATTAGTACCACCACAAAAAGGATTCCAGGGGAGGTAGGAACATAAGAAAGGAGATCTTCCAAGAATCTGTGCTTTGTAACTCACTTATAAGTGACTTAGCCTGAGCAATGAGATTGCTACATTTGTTGATTATATCAAATTATTCCGTGCAATAAAAACAAAAAAAGATTGTAGAAGGCACTGAAATGACTTCTTCAACCTGAATAAGCATGGTAGAAGCAGAGGAACGTAAGAAATTTTGAGGTGATGCAGACTGAAGTAATCCTGCACCCCAAATGCATGGGGACACTGGTAAAGTTTGATCTGGGAAACACATTTTGTGGTAGAGGCTCAACAAAAAATAAACCACTGACTGATTAAGTAGTAATGATGAAAAAATGGGCTAACTACATCAACACCATTATTACAATGCTTTCATATGTATCTATGTTGGGACCACACTTGGGTTATTTCATATCACTGCAGTTGCCACATCTTAGAAAATATATTGTAGAAGTGAAAAAGGTACAAAGAAAGACTGAAGCAACTGTGTAGGAAAGGTTGTAATGTTTGTGGCTTTTCAGTTATAAAAGGTTAATGAAGGGAGAACATAATACATGCAAAATGAACAGAAATGTTTGGTTCTCTCCGATATAATGTTAAAATGTAAGTGTAGGAGTTCCAAGGGGACAGATAAAAGGAGGAACTTTTCCACATGGTGCCTATAAGGTTTGGTTCCACAATCTATGGCAGCAGTCACCAATTCAGATGGTTTTAAGAGAAGGATTAGACATAATAATGGATAGTGGCTATATCGTTGTCTACTAATTCATGATAGTTTTATAGCACCTCCAGGATCAGAAACAGTAGACCAATTCTGAAAAGCAGATGTTGGGAAGAAAAGCAAGAAATTAGTCTTCCCCTCATGCTCTGCTTTGTGCCCTCTCCAAGGGGCACCCACCAAATCTGCTCCAACCAAATAAATAAAAAATTTACTCTGTAGTTATAATACCTAAGGTAAAAGGTAAAGGTTTCCCCTTGACATTAAACCTAGTCGAGTCCAACTCTGGGGGCTGGTGCTCATCTCCATTTCTAAGCTGAAGAGCCAGCACTGTCTGTAGATGCCTCCGAGATCATGTGGCTGGTATGACTGCATGGAGCGCCATTACCTTCCAGTGGGAGCATTACCTATTGATCTACTCGCATTTGCATGTTTTTGAACTGCTAGGTTGACAGAAGCCGAGGTTAACAGCGGGAGCTCACCCCGCTCTCCAGATTCGAACCATTGACCTTTTGGTCAGCAAATTCAGCAGCTCAGTGGTTTAACTCACTGGGCCACCGGGGAAACTAAAATTTAAACAATCAAATAAAAGACAATAAAAGTCAAATTTCAGGCTACCTTTATGTGAGAGAGGGCTTTTAGAATATACTATACACAGTATTCTTGCCACACTAGCAAAGAAAAAGGTATGCAAATTAGCTTGCTTTCTCCTGCTGAAGCCGGCTGTCCTTTCTTCCAGCAATGATAGAAAAGCCTAGCTTGGCGGTGATAAACAGCTATGCTTTGGCTATCACTTTCCTTAAGTTGAGGAGAGGGAGCTAGTGATGGATGGACAAGAATTTGGTTATCAGGCAAGGCTGTCAGCCAGACTTGCTGATAGCGCACACACATTTAGCAGGGCATCATTATGCAATGGCATGGAGCTAAAATATGGCCAAGGGTATTGAAAGAATGAAAGAACAGGGTTTGGGGGGGGGGGGTAGGCAGCAAATTGAGCAACAATAAAGGAGTGCAAGGCGAGGATGTTATCGTCCTAGTCACACCTTTTATCTCAGCCTGGTTAGTGAGAGAAGGGCACAAATTGGTCCTTCCTCCACCATTGTATCCTCTTGTACAAACAGAAGCAGATAAAATGTGACACTGGTGTGATAGCATATCAATTTAACCCTAATTATCTAGGGGGTCACACTAAGAAATAAGGGTTTCACATTTCAACAGGTCCCTCCATTTCCTCTACAGAGCAGCCACATTAATAAAATGGGGGGAGGGGATAAAAAGAAAGAGAGGGGCTGTAATTGAATCCAGTCACTCAGGTGGTCTGAGTGTATAAAAAATTAATGTGCAAGTCTTCCAACTAATCAGACGGTTAATGTCCATCTGCTTCTGGGTTCAGAATGTCAGAATCCCAAGAAAACAGGGCAATTTCCAGCATGCAAGATTCATTGCTGCTGAGGCTGCTGTTTTAGAAAAAAATCTTCTCCTTTAAAGAAGGGGAGCATTAAATCTTGAGACTCACAGGCTTGGTAA